CTGGTGGAACAAAGTGGGCTCCTGTTGGGCTCTCTTTAGCTACAGGCCCAGATTTTCTACGACAGTCACATGGCTCAGCGTAAAAAGATAATTATCTGTAACTTCGGTTGATGTAAAAATGGGTAGATTGAGGCAGATTAAGTGTGTGTCATTATTTTTATTTAAGAGAGTTTTTAAAGTCCGATACAATTACAGGAAGCTTTGAGTAAATTAAGGACAGGTTTTAGTGTCTGAAGCTACTGTAAACAATGTTTTTATGCTCACAACTGGTCACATGACTACTCCCATCATTAAGGGAATTGACACGCCCCCCTTTGTCTTCAATGGCCTCGCAGAGGTGGCTGAAGAGACTTTGGACTGAAAGAACTCGGGTTTGATGATTAAATGGCCGAATCCGGAAGTCTGGATGTAGATCTCTTTTTCTATCCGGTAAACGCTGAAAGTCAAGCGTTCTCAGATGAAGCGGCAGTGTTACAGGACCTGCTGCCCTTCCTCCAAAGCACTTCAGCTGTTGGTTTCTTTTGCTTTTGTGATATTTTTTTTGTGTGTAGTTTGTAGTGCAGCGCTGGGCTGGATCTCTGCTCTGCTGCCTGTTTTCAAGCTTAGTGTTCAAAGTCACCCCACGCCTGAAAAACCAAGTTGAGAGCAGGGGATTTCTGACTTGTGTTGTTTAATGTATCTGGTTTTGTGTGGCTTTCGGTTAGCCCTTGGGGAGTGGTGGAACTTGTAGCTCTTTGGATATTGTTAAGGTTATGTGCGCATTTGGTGTTTCTGTGTCACACTGAATTGAACTGAATGCACTTTTTTGAGATTGTACAGTGTACAACGAGATTGGAGTGTTTCTCCTATGAATATATAAAAAAGAAACCATTTTGATCAAATACTGCTCATAATTATTGCACAAGATATTGGAGGATTATGTATTTACAGTTTTATGATTATATTGCACAGGATGGTGGAATGTTGAGCAAAACAGCAGCAGTGCTAGGAATATTGCGTAGTATGTTGTATGCATGTTTAAGTTCACAGTAGTTTATGACTGTCTACATTACCACCGCCCGGATTATTTTCAGTTGCAGTGCAAACTCTGTGTTTGCTGTTCAGTGTAGCAGCTTTGGGTTTTGAAATAGTTATTTTCCTGCATGAGGCAAGGTTGGATCCTGAAGTGCAGGGAGTCAAACCACTTTGCCAGCACGTCTGCTGCTTTATTCGATGAGGGGAGGGCAGTGCTGAGTGGTTTACAGCTACTGCTCCAAATCATTTTAGGTCTGAAAGCGTATCATAATACTTGCTTGCCGAACTTAGAATTTGACCACATTTGCATTACCATTGTAATTATTTTTTTTTTATCTGATGAAAGAATGCCTAAAAGGTGACGAAGCCCTGTGCTTTCTGAACTCTGCCACAGTGCGAATGTGAGGCTCAGACTTAAGGAATTCCCCTCCCTTTTATTCAGGCGGGTCTGTCCATTCTGTGTTACAGGAGGTACTGAAGGCTCTCATTAACATTTAATGAACCAAACCACTTTACATTCTGACAGCCACTTAAATATTGCTTGGTCATTTTGCTCATTTAGGAAGATTCCAAAGTAAAGTAGGCAGACAGGAAGTAGGCAGCTGTAAATGGCAGCATTGGGGAGTGTGTGCTGAGTCACTGCTAAGGGCGGTTATAACAACCTGACTGCTGTTACCGTCAGTAACTTAGTGTTTCCTTTCTCTGTGGACACGTCTTGCAGTTAGCCGTTGAATCCAGTGAAATTCAAAGTCTTACCGTCACTGAACGCAAAGCTAAAAGTGAAAACTGGACTTTCAGCTGCCAAAACTGATGAATAATAAGGATTCTGTGTTTACAGCTGATACAAAGCAAAAAAGACTTTTTTCACAAACAGACCAGGCAGATGCTGCAATAATACTTCATCATTTTTTCCCAGATGCTGAAGGATTTAGTCAATCACTGAGGATGTTCCAAACATGTTTTTGCTAAAGAGGATTTTATCGACAAATTTACTGTAAACTCTATTTGATTAAAAATGTTTGACGTGCTGTAAAAGCTACCATCATATTTCACTGAGAAGTCACTCCAGTTTAGATTTTCTTCTTTTCTTGGAGCAGATGGTGTAAATGCCCAAGATTAAATGTATCTGCAATGCTCTTTTAGAGTCTCCCAGACTGCACAGCAACACTCCTACACAGTCCAGAGCTCAGCAGCACGCCGGTTATCCACCAAAAGGGACTGAAGGCCCTCCACTACTCGCTGAACTCCACTGAAAACTCATGGCTGCCTGAATCAAACTCAGCTCAGTAATGCTCCCTCACTCAGCGAGCGACAGCCAGCTGTTTAAAGTCTATCAAACAGAATTCTGCAAACCTCGATAACCCGTCACACCAAACCGACACCTCCTGGCATGCCTCCGCTTGTTTTCCTTCTACTGGTGATGAGTTAGAAACTCGCTGTGTGAACCAGGGTGTCTCCCTCCACTCAGGTCTGTTTCGATCTATTGAAAACATTTAAATGAGACAAAATGTGTTTTTTCTCTTAACACTGAATATCTAAATTAATGCTTGAATGAATAATGTTCACATGATCAAAATAATGATGGAGTATTACTGGAGAGCTTCATGACACCAATGACACAAATTAAAGCATGCATTTTACAGTTTTTTGTCTCTTTATTTTACATTTTAATTGCATTTTAATCTCAAGACTCCTGCTCTTTAAAAAAACATCGTATAAATGAGAAAAATGGGAAGTCCTTGTAAGTGATTCTGACCCTTTTTCACTCTTAAAGGACACCAGAGGTTCTCAGAAATACCTCTGTTCTTTCTTTCTTTTTTCTTAAAAAGGCCCTATCAAGCTGAGCAGTTCTTCCGACATGACTGAATAAGAGTAACCAATCTAAAAATAAGTTGTGTTTTAACATCAGCTTAGTATTCTGGAGAAAGTGGAATGGGTTTGCTGAAATATGACTTATGTCTTTTATCAGCTGTCTAATCTCTGTTAAGTAGAACATAAAAGTAGAACTGTCCTGATCACAGCCGTCTCACTGAAAATATCCCTCCTCATCATTCAGGCGTGGCACCTTTAATCTCCCCTGCACACAACAGTGAGACATTTTTTTGGGACATCCGTTCGCAAAGAAATCCTTATACGTGTCTCTGTACCTGACAAATAAGGCTGAGTCCTGTTTTGTGTTTCCGGTGCACAAAAGGCCGACACACTGATGTCCAGCGAGAGCTAGTTTTCACTAAGAATCCCCCTTCATTTTTACATTCGTGGAGCTCCTGTCAAGTGGAAGAATCCAACTCAGACAACACAGCAAGCCCACCAGTTGGAGACTTTAACTGCCTTTAGGCGAATGCTGTGATGCCTTAAACTGGCAACAGCTCAAACATTTTCTTCGTTTTTGTTTGTGTATTGACAGAATAATCCCAAAAAATTAATTGATCTTTGTAGAGATTGACAATTTGAAGATAACATTGATATCCATGCATATCTTAAGATGACATTAGGATATGCGTGGATTCATAATTCATGTCGGCTGTGCTTTGGGGCAATGGAACTGTAACAGTATCTGTGCGCTTGTCAAAAAAAAAAAAGGAAAAAACGCTGTCATCTGCTTTATTTCTACCCAAAAACTTATAGATGCAAAATGTGTATTTAGTCACAGAAAGAGTGGGGGAAAGTTTTGACGCTCCGAGGGGCGTTTGGGGGGAAGAGCACCGGCGGCCAAACGGAAAGCTGAGCTCCTTCACCTTCAGCATGAACTGAGCTGGGCGCCATAAGGAAAGGCATTCAGGGCTGACCTCCGTGTCAGGGAGATGACCACACTCCTCCTTATCGACATAAATTGACCTTAGCAACCTAAAGAAAGGCGAATAGCCTAAATGCCTCCTTTTAAAGCTCATACAACGTGAGAGTTTTGGCCACTTTGTAAAATGGCCTTCCCTGAATCGCTATTTTAGACTCAACATGTAAGTTTGTATCCATTATTTCTATTTGATGTGAAAAAGTTAAAACCCCTAAATAAATGGAAATAGTAAAAGAAAGGTTTGCATGTGTCTTTTATTCCTGTTTTGACTTCAAACTAAACTCAACCAGACCTAAACCAGACCTAGAAATACTAATCCATGAGTTTGAGAACCAGGTTCTGGTCTCCTGCCGGGGCCCAAAGTCAGAACTAAACAAGGCGCACGCTCCTAAAACCTGGATCAGTTTTCCTGAAGACGTGAGACAGGCCTCACCTCTGACAATGTCTGAATCCAGGCCAAAAACTGTTTGTTTAACTGTACATCTGGACACTGAATTCATTTTATCTGCACCCTTCACTTTTTATCCGTCTAATTTTTATTATTTTTCTTGTTATGCTTTTTTTGCTTTTGAATTCTTTGTGAAGCACTTTGAATGGTCTTTTACACAAAATATGCTGCTCAAATAAACTTGCCTGGCCTTAATAAGGTGAGTCCTTTTATTCTATTTAACCAAAAAGGCTGATTAAAAGCTTCCATGCTTGTTTCTTTTTACGTTGGACGCATTTGTTTACCTTCTCTATCTCAGCCTTTTCTCTACTGGCTGTAGAGGGTGGGGCCCGGGGCCCGGGGCCCGGGGCCCTGGTCCGGTTCGGCTGAGGGGGGGTCCGGGACCCGGACCCGGTTTCCCTACAAACCGGAAGTCAGGCTGCTGCTGTTAGGGGTGCGCGGCGTGCCGGAGAGGGACCGCACAGCTGACAGCCTGTGGGGGGGTGTGGTGGCGGGGGGGTGGAGTGGAGAGAGAGAGAGAGAGAGAGAGAGAGAGAGAGAGAGAGAAAGAGAGAGAGGACTGGGTGAGGTTGGCAGTCGGGATCGCTTTCAGTTTTGGAGTTCACTCGTTTGATCGACGCCCAGAGGGGGCGGAGTGGGCCGATCGTTTTTCTCCCGATCCCACCGACGACATCCAAAAAAACAAACCCAAAAGCAAACAAACTAACCAAAAGAGGAGCGGAGAGGAGAGAGGCTGCCGCCACCATGCCGAAGTTCCGCGGAGCGACGCTTTTCCTTTGTTTGTTGACGGCGCTGGACGCGGCGCGCTCCCCGGGAGGCGTTCAGGGTCCCGGTAAGAACAGCCTCCACAACCCACACTTTGGATCCGGCCCTTATCGGTCCGCCTGCCGGCTCTTATCGGGGCGAGTTTGGGGCGTCCTGACTCTCGTCCCAGATCGCCCCCAGCCCCCCTTGTCGGCGTCGTTTTTACGCGGCCAGTTTTGAGACGCTTCCTCCGTTAAAGTTAAAGTTTGACGGCTTTTATTTTTATTTGCTGACAGCTCAGCCAAAGTGCGCACCGGCCATCGTCCAGCTGAGCTGCCCAAAAGGAAAAAGAAAAGCCGTCAAACTTTAACTTTAAGGGGGCATGTGTTTCAAAACCGGCCGCGTAAAAACGACGCCGACTGGGGGGGCTGTTTTTTTTTTTTTTTTTTGTTTGCTCAGGCCGTTGAGGTGTCCTTACCATCTGTCCACTTCCCATTTTATGTCTTTCATATACAGCGAGGTGCTTTTCTTTCTTTCTTTCTTTCTTTCTTTCTTTCTTTCTTTCTTTCTTATCAGGAGAGTTCAGACGTTTAGTCTGTGTTACAGAGGGATTTGGTCAGCAGATGCCAGATCATTGACGTTTATCGTTATCCAAAATGTCACCTGGTTTGTTAAATCGTGTCTGATGGCTGGGGAGGAGAGTTTGTGAAGGCTCACAACTAAATCTCCAGGTTCTCTTCCCCTGTGATGGACCGGTGGACTGTCCAGGGTGTACCCCGCCTCTCTCCCACTGACCGCTGGGATAGGCTCCAGTTCTCCCCGCTACCCCGTTAGGGAATAAGTGGTAACGATAATGGATGGATGGATGGTTCTATTCCCTCTGGCGTCACGCCGGGCCTTCGTACAACCACAAAAAAAACACCCCAGTGGTCACAGACGCCCCACAAAGGCCCCACGCCAATGAAAGCCATGTGACCATGAGGAGGGGTCCTTCTTTGGGGGGTCGTGGGGGTGAAATCGGGGTCCCGTTTAACAGCGAGCTAACATTTTTCTGTGTGTTTTCCTTTTGTCTCTCAGATGAGGACGCCTTCTCCATCCAGCACCGGGGCTCGGGGGCGTGTCTGAGCGCGGACCCCTCGGGCGCCGTGACGACGGCGGCCTGCGATGCGGGCGCGGCGGCCCAGCGGTGGAAGTGGGGCTCGGCCCACCGGCTCTTCCACGCCGCCACCGCCCGCTGCCTGGCGCTGGACGTCCGCTCCAAGGCGCTGGCCCTGCTGGACTGCGGCGCCGGCGCCCACATGGGCTGGCGCTGCCTGGGCGGGGGCGCCGTCCACACCGCCTACCAGATGGAGCTGGCGGTCAGGGACGGGCGAGTCCAGCTGCAGACCAACAGCGGAGACGCCTGGGGACGGGCGGGCTCCCAGGAGGACATCTGCCACCGGCCGTACCGAGGTGAGGGCGGCCTCTGATTCTTTAGTTGGAAACCTGAGAAACAATCCAGAGTACATCAAAATGATAAAATGGACATTTATTAGGTCACAGGCAAAGTATATCAACACTGGGCTCTTCACAAAGACCTCTCTCTCAGGGTCTCAGTCAGCAAAGAGCCCCGAACTCCGTGTGTGATGGGTATTTGTCCCCTCATAAGGACTGGACACTGCTTATTGGCCAGTTACTTACTAACCCTAACCCTAACCCTGACATGAACCGGCCAGGTCCTAATTGATGCAGATAACCTTGGAATGTGGTAACAAAGTTTGTGTGTGTGTGGGTGTGTGTGTGTGTTGACCTAATGACGTGTGTATAATGTAACAGAGAGGAAAGAGGAAAATCTGTGGTTACAGTCAGAGAATTTCACGCAAAAGTATCGTTCTAAAAAGTTATAAGACAATCAGTCATTTACATGGATTATTATGTGATAGCATGCAATGCTAAAGTGAGCAATTATAGCCAAATTCTAACACCCTGAAAGGCCGGCAGTGGACGGATGGCCTAATGCTGTGGAGAGAAGAAAGTTCGATTCACTTTGAGTGGCGCAAATTAAGTTTGCTCTGAGGACTGGCCTCTGCCCCCCCGGCGGAGAGCAGAGAGCAGACGAGCGTCTCCGGCTCACACAAAACAGGTTCTGGTGCTTTTTAAAAACCGGTCGGTTTCAGTCAGCTGACTACCGCTAATGCCGTGTAACAACACGGCAGGTCTGGTTCTGAGTTGAGGAGAAGCACTGCCCCCCCCCCACCATAAAGAAGCAAAGTGTCGTCTGGATTTTAGGGGACTTCCTGTGTGTGTTTTATGAGTTTTCTCTTGAAATCATCTCACATGCAACACGGAGCCTTTCGCTTTCCTTTTGTGGTGTTGCTCCCATCATAAAGTTGTTGTGAATTTGTCTATGCAAAACTCGAGAACCGATGTTTTTTTTTTCCACTGGAAGCTCCTCAGAGGAATACAGTCATGGCCACATATGTGTAAAAGGAGCTTAACGGTTGTGTTTTTAGACGATACGGTTTCTGTTTGTCTAAAATGGTTTTCTTTGCCCATCATGAAGTGTGTGTCTGTGAAGGGTTTCTCTTTGTAAATGTGAGAAGGGGTGTCTGTGTTTCCGGGCTCAAAACATTTAGAGGGATGTTTTGGATCGTTGAGGAGGATGGTTGAGCATTTCTAGTTGCTCTTTGCTTCTTTCCAAGCAGAAAACATTTCAAAATACGTGCAAAAATTATGAAAAGCACCAAATCCGTTATGGAAAAAGAAATTAAAAACACCAAGCATTCAGTGATGCCGTGGGTGTTCTTCAGCTGTGGAAACGGTGACCAAGAAAAGTAACTATATCAGGAAGTGACACTTTGTAAAGTCCCTATTTTTAGCATTTCTTTGAACTGAGATGAGATGGAATTTTTTTTGTTGAGTAGATGTTCACTCGGCTCCCCGGTCAGAATTCCCCCAAACCTTACGACTCCACATGCAGCACAGAAAGGGATCTAAAGGAGTTTCAGTGTGAGGGAGTGAGATGTGTAAATCTACAGATGACGCTGTAGATGGAAAGAAAGACTCAAAACTTCTCAACATGGAAGCATAAAAACCTGTTAAGAGAAGTCCCAAACCTGTAAATGAACAAAATATGAACTCTTTTTGATTGCTTTGGCACTTTCCATTCTAGTAAAAGATGTCTGAGCCGACCCCGGTTGGAGATGAACACACCCCTGTGCTTCCTTTGTTGTTTTCCCGGACCGGAATGTTCTTTTCTTCTAAAAACGTTTCGTTTCTCCACTGTCTTTCTCTGCATTTGAAGTCACAGACCTGCATTGTTTCTTCTCTCGTGGCTTATTGTTCCGCAGCGGGACTTTTTTTTGCTGTGTCTCTGCAGACACCTGCGCATGGCGTTGTTTGCATTTGGGACTCTGACTTTGCTCGTTGCCTTTTTGCTTTTGCAGTGGTCCACACCATCAACGGGAACTCTGCCGGAATCCCCTGCGAGTTTCCCTTCAAGTACAACGGCAGCTGGCATCACGGATGCCTCCCGGATGAGGATTCTCCTGGACTCTCCTGGTGCGCCACCTCCTCAGACTACGACCTGGAGAAGAAAAAGGGGAACTGTCTATTACCTGGTGTGTTATGTTTTTATTTAAATCTTTTTCTATTTATCAAATGACAGAATATGTGAAGCATCTCTCTAATGCCAGATGCAGCCGGCAGAAAGTGTGTGTTCGCGGCTGAGAGTCTGCAGTGTGTGTTCTCACACACTTCCTGTCTGATGTTGCAGAGCGCGGTTGCCAAACCCTGTTCGCTGGTCCGGAAGGGGAGTTCTGCTTCGAGTTTGCCTCCAGCGCTGCGGTGACCTGGCACGAGGCTTTGGACTCGTGTCGCAGTCAGGGGGCCGACCTGCTCAGCCTGACCGGGCCCGCCGACCTCACCTCGGACTCCTGTAAGCCCGGCCATGACCACACAGTCTTCTCTTCCTTTTTCTCCACTTGTGGTCACACAAATAAACAATATAGACCCCAGTCTTCATTGTACATCACAGTCAAAGAGACTGATGTAATTCCAGAGTTTTTACAATATGAATTATAGCACACATTTAGTTTTTTCTGGAATAAACCCCTCATCACTGGTAAATATTGCAATAACTTTTCTTATTCGGCCCCGTTCCTTCTGGTTTATCACGGCTGAAATTCTCTTAGACTTCTTCTGAGGGCTCTGTCATGCCTTTAGTGACCATTGTCTTTTCTTTTTTTAATTTTTTTTCATGGTGGGGTAGAGTGGTGCTTTTGTTATCGACTTGGCTTCCCCGATGTGACGTTTTTCTCTTTGTAAAAGTGAATGTAAGAAAAGGGGATCTTGGACCCGCTCGAGCTTCGGTGTCCCAGGACGAACCGCCACACGTTAAAGATGACCTACACTTGCAAGGCGGCAGTGGCGTTTGTTGAATCTAAGCCATCTCTTCCACTTCCTCCTTTTGTTCCCCTTTCTTTTTCATGCTGTGGGACATTCACGGCTGCGTTATGAAACCTAAACTGAAAACGGCTGGAATACGCTTGTGAGATATTTGTGAGATGAGAGATGTCTCAGTTTGTAGTTTAGAAACTTGTTTTGGGAGGCTGAGTCCAAAAAAACCTGCAACCTCACTGCTTTTTTCTGGTAACGGGCTTTGTTGTTATGTCCTGAGGCGCGTCAGCCGGCTATTTCTCCTCTTTTTTTTGTTGTTGTTAGTAACAAAACATGAATTTAGCCGCTTATTTTCCTTTCAGCTGAGGAATAAATGTGATACTTTTAGCTGAGTTCCCTGAGATTCTTTCCAAAATTCAGTTTGAGTCGGGTCAGATTAGATTATGAACTGTAGCTTTACCATTTAGCGGAGTCGTATGACAATAGGTTGGTGATTTTTTATTTTTTTGCTTGTCTCCTGTGCAGTTTCGGACGGCCTTGGCGGAATGCCTTCAAAGATGTGGATCGGCCTTCACCAGCTGGACGTCTCTCAGGGCTGGCAGTGGTCAGACGGCTCGCCGCTCTCCTTCTTGAACTGGGACGAAGGTGACGACGGAAAGAGACTGGTCGGAGTTTAACGCGGGGTTGTGGGGAGGAACGGAGAAACAAAAGAGGAGAGAGTCTGTGGCTCCTCTCGCCAGGAGAACTTGCCTCTGTGCAAACACAGCTCCGCATCTTTGCTCTTTTCCCAAACACTGGTTTTCAGTCCGGGAAACAATGCGGCCAGTGTTGTAAAGAGGCTGAGTGTGCCCGGCTGTTGGACACAGTGTGGCACCGGCATTGTTGGTGTTGCTGAATTACCCGTTAAAGGACCTGAATGGGCGGCTTTATCAAGCCTGCCTGCTATTGTAACAGTTGTATTTTTTTAGCCTTTTAGGGAACAAGATCGTTTGAATGAGAGGAAACAGCAGTCATGTGTCCCTTGTGTTGATACTGGCTCCAAACGGTTGGAATAATGTGTAACGTATCAGTGTTTGACTTGAGGAAAAGAGTGGGGGGATCGACTTTACTGACATTTACTGTGTGTGTGTGTGTGTGTGTGTGGGGGTGACAGAAATGCCATACTCCTCCATCTTGATCGAGTCAGACTGCGGTGTCCTGAACGCTCGAGGGAAATACGAGTCGGAGTCGTGCAACAAACGCCTGCCGTACATCTGTAAGAAGAGGGAGAACGCCACGGAAACGGCGCCGACAGGTGGGCCGCCCGCCGCCTTCACAGGGCCTCGGAAATAAGACACCGACGCCTTTCTCCAGGGTTTAAAGTTGGACCCAGATTCACGCTCGACAAACACACCTCAGACCTTCATGAGTTGATGATTCTGGATGATTCCAGAACCTGTTCTCCCCTCTCAGCCGGTTCTGCTGTTTCCTCTGCAGAGGATGTGAAGTTTCTGGAGACGGCGTGTCCGGAGGGCTGGGTGCCGTGGAGCGGCTGGTGCTACAAGCTAGTGCAGGACACCCCCGCGAACTTCCAGGATGCCCAGCTGCACTGCACCGACGAGGAGGGAGGACGCTTGGCCAGTTTCCATTCGGTCGACAGCAAAGAGATGGTCAGCACGTATTTCCACGCAGGTAAAAACTAAATGTTCAATAGTCCGGTGTAATCTTATGTTCACATTCCTGTTTGGATCACTTAGGCTCCTAAGAGAGCCACGCAAGCTTTGCTACAAGTACATTATAAACCGATGAACTGTAATTTAAAACACTTTCTCTCAAGCAAAATCAAAACATTATTATATAAAAGTAAAAGATTACTGTGAAGAACTTTTCCCAGCTTTTAGGTCTAAGTTTAGTTTTTACGTCACGTCTAAGGCTGTAATTGTTCTAAAGATTGTAATCTATGAAAAATATGAGCAGAGAGAGTGGAAAATGAATGGTTTATACCAGCAGATTCTGTAGGAAAAACATCGGGGCAGATCTCTGGTGGTCGACCAAGCTTTAACTGACAATAGAAGTCTTGGTTTCATTGGTCAGTTATTTGTGGACGGAGGAGGAGTTGATGCTCTGCCAAAAACTCCCTGCATAAACTTATGTTTTCACTTATTGTTATTAGATTAGAGACAATACCTTCCTTTTCCTCCATATCACTCACATTCACATCCTGGCCAGATGTCATCTGCACCCTTGTTCATTGAATTAGCCGCTGTGTGCGCGTGGAACGCTCTGATACAAAGTCTTTCTCTCGGTGTTGAAGCAGAAAGGGACAAAAAGAGACTACCCATGCACAGAGAGTAAGGTTCAAAACACTCTGTTAGTCTAAATAACAAAAAAAGGTCAGAAAAGTCCGAAATTTGTTTAATCTAGTCAGAAAAACTGTGTTTTTAACACATTTATATCTTGCATTAATGTGAAATCTAACAGAGGAAATGCAGATTGAATTTCCGTGAGCATTAATAAGGAGAGTGGGGGAGAGATGTTTCCAAGAAGTGTACTCAAATTACATTTGTCTGTAAAAAGCTAAAATGTCTGTTGTGAAAATACAACAAATAACCGACAATTTGCCCTAAATTACGTCTTCTGGTTGACAAAGAAAAGTTGTACTCGGAGGCGGCCCGACAAGCATCACAGCGTCAGAAGATCAAAAGAGGATTGTTTCTAAAATTGGACACTGACCTGAAAGGCCTCAGATGACATAAAAGTCAAGGGACCTGAAAAAAAAAAAAAGCTTTATAATGTCACAAGGCAAGGGTGAAAAATAACCTGAATCTGAATGAAAAGTCTCTGAGCTCCTGAAACAGGATTTAAAACTTACTGGGAGGGAAACACCTCAATGCTAAAGAACAAGGCACGTTTCAAGCAATGCCTCTTTTTTAAGTGAGAGAGCAGAAAATTATTCTGTGTTCTGAATTCTGTCACAATAACGAAAGATGTGATTAACCTCCCAGAGAAGCATCAGTGTTTCAGATGTTTGAAAATTATGAGAAAGCAGATTTTGACAAACACGTTTTAACCGAGTCACACCGCTTCCATGTAAAATTCCAAATGTATTTTGCAGGTGTTGGATATTTGAATCCCACCAGACCTAAAAAAAAAGTTAGCAAGTCAGTTATTAGCCTTTTAAATTGAGAAGTTTGGATTTTGGTGTAACCTGAACATATTTTAGTCCCAGTTGTCTTCAGAAAGTAAGTGCCAGTTAATTTCTCCATGTGAGTTGATTTTTCCTTGTGAGATCAATAAAGTATTCAATCAATCAATCATTATTTCTTTGTAACTCTGGACTTTGCTCCCCTCTTCACGATCCCACGTGTTTCCAATCTTTAAACCATTTTTTCAGCAGCTGCCGTCGACCACATAAAATCTCTGTTTTTCTACATCCATGAGTAACAGCGGTTTATTTTTTTTCGGTCCATCTACTTCCAGATCGAGGTTCTCTGGATGTGTGGATTGGTCTGAAGGGTGTTGGAAAGGACGCCAACGTCTTCGAGTGGACGGACGGGGAGCCGGTCACCTTCACCTTCTGGGGCCCCAACCAACCCGTCCAGCCGGCCCCCAACTCCAGCTGCGTCTTCTACTCCGGGCAGGTGGGTGCCGATTGACCGCCGATCTTTTTGATGCGCGCGTAGCTGGCAGAGTCCAACCCGTCCGTGTGTGCCCTCCACAGTCTCACAGCTGGCAGGTGGGAAGCTGCGTACAGGCGCTGCCGTTCATGTGTCAGAGGAAAGGAGAGGTCAACGGCTCGGCCGCACAAAGCGGATGCAGCTTTGAGCAGGTGGGTGTGGTCTGCAGCCCGTTGGACATAATGCCATCTGAACTAAAAGACTTAGACTTAGACTCGCCTTTATTTATCCCTTGGGTTTACTCCTTCAGGGAAGTTCTGGTTCCAGTTGCTTATATAAGTGTACAAAGGACAGTTAAAGCAAGATGCCATTTGAAGATAAAAAATACAAAAGACAATATAAGAAGAGCATAAGAAAAGTTGTTATGTCCTGAAAAATGTTTCCTTTAGGAAAGACTACACAGTAATTGACTTGGATTTTTGCACTTGCCATGCTAAAGCAACAAAAGGAAAACTTTGGGAAGGATGCGGACGCCATGGAAGCTTCTGGAATGAAGGATGTTTCTTAATGCCGAGGTCCAGGGAAATATAGTTATTTTTTAAACACAAAGAGGACAAAAGCTCTATTGATTCGGCCGCCGTTCGTGGACGTAGTGATCAACTCTGACCTGATTCCCGTTGCAGAGGCCTCGTTGTTTATCAGACATAGGACCGAGAGATTATCCATGTTTGTCTTTGGTTCTAAGTTTTTTTTTCCCCCGAAGTCTTACTGATTCGTTTTCTCACGCAGGGGTGGAGGCGACATGCGAACTCCTGCTACAAAGTGAACACCGATCCAGTGCCCTTCAAAGATCACTGTAACATTACGATACGAAACAGGTAGAGGCTGCTTCTTTCGGTTGAAAATACCCATAATTACCAGCCGCTGCCTTTTGAAGTGTCGGGCCTCGGTCTGACTGTACCCGCCGCTCTCGTTCTGCTGGTTCCTCCCAGATTCGAGCAGGCCTTCATCAACCGCCTGCTGGGAGAGTACATAGGCAAGGAAACGCAGCACTTCTGGATCGGGATGCAGGACATGAAAAGCACGGGGGAGTACCAGTGGACGAGACAGGACGCGTCCTCGGGCGCGGCCACCTACACAAACTGGGGCTGGTTTGAACCAAGTTAGTAAAGGCTGCAAAGCCATGTGCCGTGTCAAAACAAACAGACTTAAGGACCATGGTCTTATTCTGTATGTAACCACATGAGAGTAGCAACATTTTAAAGCTATTTGGACTTCAATTGTCTCCAGTCAAGAGACTGGGGGGCTTAACTCATTGACTGCCAGCCATTTTCAGAACAAAGAGTCCCATACTGCCAGAGTTTTTTGAGCATTTTGACTGATTTTTCAGTCAGAATTGTTTCTACCTTATTCCGTTCTTCCTCGACTTGCGTCTCACCGGCGCCATTTCTCGCATAGCGAACCATTGCGTTTTTTTTCATTTGCCTACAGTCTATGCTCATCTCCCATCAAAAGTGGCACAGCCACCTAGAGGGCCAATTTGTTTGTACATACTCTGTCTAGAAGCCGATATTTACGGAAAAGTTTTAGCCGATCGTCCCCCAAGCCACTCGCGTTGAAAAACATAAACGAAGTCTATAGATGTCTTTGGCAGTCAACGGTTGTTTTTGAATTGACGTCTATAGACGTCTTTGGCAATGAGTTAAGCTTTGGGCTTTTTATGTCTCCATAAGGCTCAGACACTTTGCAGTCAGTAGGAACTGAAACGGCGTTGTTTAATTTCTGTCTGTCTCATTCGTGTGTGTGTGTGTGTAATTCAGCGCGTCCTGGAGGCTGCGCCGCCATCTCCACCGTGAAGCCTCTCGGCAAGTGGGAGGTGAAGAACTGCACCCTCTTTAAAGCCGGCACCATCTGCAGAACAGACCTCAGCCCGCCTCCACCTCCGGAACCGGAGCCCAACCCGAACGCCACCTGTCCCGACGGATGGGTGTCCAGGCCTCAAATCAAAAACTGCTACAAGGTGTGTGTGTGTGTGTGTTTGCATCCCTGAAAAGCATGCAGATCTTTTAGTATTGGGGTCCATAGATGTGTGGAAACAGGGAAAATAATATCAGCCGGTAAAAAGAAGCTGCAATGAGCAAATTAATGTCTTTTTTTTTTAAGGCGTGGACTGATTGGTATCAAACGGGATCAAAATCGTAATAGCTTGAGTGAATAAAGCGATTAAAAGCGGCCTTGGCTGCGTCTTGTCTGATGTTTTAAACGGCTGTTGTGAAACCAGTGCGTCGCATTTTCAGGTGTTTCACGAGGAAAGGCTCAGCAGGAAGCGCTCCTGGGAGGAATCCAGGAGGTTCTGTCAGGCTCTGGGAGCCGACCTGGCCAGCTTTACCAACATTCAAGAAATGAGGGCCCTGCACAACATCATGAGGGAAAGCATCAGGTATGAGCTCACAACTCGTGGATGTACTCCCTTTAGAAACAAATGGGGCTCATATTAATGCCACCTCACCCGGAGGAGTTGAAATAAACTTTGTCTTCAGCCTTACCTTTTACACTTAGTTTTAAACTGCTGGGTCGAGGAATAAAACACCAACATCCCTCTAAAAAAGAAAACCCCTAATGGCTAAGAGGGTTTTGGATTTTTGTCCCAGCGTTCAGAAAGAGGTCGTGAATGATCGTGCGCTGGTTTTGTTTGCAGTGATAATCGTTACTTCTGGGTAGGCCTGAACAGGAGGAACCCAGCTGACCGGTCCTGGACGTGGAGCGACGGCCGGCCGGTGAGTTTCTGAGGATATTGAACGAGGCATTTCGAAAAGGAAAAACACAGCAATGCCACTAATGTGTTCCAGTGTTTTAAAAGAGATGTAAGACGATAAGGAAATAACTCTGTGCTATAAAAATCAACAAAACCGAAACAAACAACAAACAGCAGGAATGAAAAAGCCGATCGATCTGTAGTTTGATCGGATATTGATTCTCAACAGGCTGCTGCACCCGGCTGACTAAACAGAAACACGGCCCCAAGAAAAAGTAATTAGATATAATAATTAGTAGGATCCTAAAACTTCTTGAAATGATTAAACTGGAGACAATGTAGAAAAAATATGGTGGTGTTTTGGCTGTTCCCGGTCAGCAGGTACAAACTAAACGGGGAGAGTTGAGAAAGTGAAAAAAGAGAAAGTCACAAAAGTTTGAGAACAGAAAGATAGAAAATAAACAGAAAAATTTAAATCGTAAATCGTGAATAGTGGCAATAGACCATCTCGCAGTGTAACTGTGGCAATAGATCGCCTCACTGATGCCTTAATTTGTCCCTAATCTGCTTTTTTTGTTGTTATTCACTGTTATTTAAGAACAAATTCCCAATCTGGGAAACAGGAGAATTAAAAAGTCAGTGATCAATACCCACCCACCCCACCCCAACCTTAGATACAAATCAAGTGACCCATTAGGTCATAAATTAAATTAAAAAAAAGGACAAAGCACTAATCTGCATCTTAAAAGTCCAATTTCTTTTCAAATGCAGCATATATATATGTATATATATATATATTTTTTTTAAATAAACTTCCAGAAGTTTTTTTTCCTCACTCTGTTCATTCTTTGGCTTCTCCACAGGTTTCCCTGGAGGTTTTCCACCAGGATTTCCACGAGGATGACGCCTACAGTCGGGACTGCGCAGCATTCAAGGTTCCCCGCCGTTCCTCCTCTGGACCTCTCATGCGGGGATGCCACCTCCCCCGGGTGAATGATCTGTTTAATCCGTGTCCTCCTCTCCCCCCCCCCCGGCAGACGCTGAGGAGCTCCCTGACGCACCTCTATGTGTTCCTGGTCCACGACATCCCGCCCACGCCCTTCTACGCCGTGCCCTTCCACTGCGACGCGCGGCTGGAGTGGGTCTGCCAGATCCCCCGCGGTAAGTGTGGGACCTCAGTCTATTCAAAACGTCCCCTGAAATGTTTTATAACGTCTTTTTTTTTCCCGTCTGTGCTTTACAGGGCGGACGCCGAAAACCCCAGAGTGGTACCAGCATGGTAACGACCCCGTCGCTATCGTGTGGTTGTACAAAAACGTCTCTTTGGACGGAACCTCTTGAACGTGTGCGACCCCCACCCCTATTGATCGGTGTCTGTTTTCTCCTTTTCAGGGGGTCACCACAATACGTCCGTATTTATGGACGGAGCCGAGTTTTGGTTCGTGACGGAGCCCAAGCTGACTTTTGAAGAAGCGAATCTTTACTGTGCGGCCAATGACAGCAAGTTGGCGTCTCCACTGAGCTCCAGCGCCGCTTTAAAGATCCAGCAGCAGCTTCAGATGGTGAGGGGGGGGGCGATATTAGCTGTATGCTCATATTTGTGAAGCCTGCCGAGGGCCAAACAGCCTCACAGATTAAATTACTGTTTAACTGAGGAGAGTCTACCTTTCTAATTGGAGTCAAGCCTTCTTAAAAACGCTTTTTTTAAAAAGTTTAATGGAACCTATCTTGCATTTTCTGCAAAGAAATATAAAGGTAGTCTTTTCTGTTACGATTGATTCCTTTTTTTTTGTGTGTATATTCGATAGCTGTCAACTTCTGCTAAGCAAAACTGGTGGATTGACATGACCAAGCCGGGCCGGACGTTCCCCATGTCGTGAGTCAGCTCTCACCGTCTCTGCTCCGCAGAAGCCACCAAACTCATTTCACCAAACTCATTTCTGTTCCAGGTACTCCCAGATGTACTTCTACCATTCCTTTTTCTTGGGGCGATGCACCTTCATCAGCTCCGAGAGTCCTTTTCCAGGTAAGACGAAACAAGTTCACGGGATTTTCTTTGCTCCTCGCGGGTGGATTCTTTTCAACCTTTTAATGAAAATCTGTTTTGGCTGATAAGCACAAAAAAAACACGTTATTTATTGGCTGGATTCACATGAATCTATTGAAATGAATAACGCAAGAATTATTTCTATTGGATACTATGCATTTACATTTGAGCCTGAATGCGATAGATAGATAATTTACTAAAGATTTAGTATTTAGGTTTTTGTGAGCTTTCATGGTGAGTGTTTGACCAAACAAAGATGACTTTTCCTAAGCTACCTTGTGCATTTTAAGTGTTATATTTTAAGATTGTAAGAGGATTGTATATATTGTATATATTGTCAAAATACATTCATGCATACTGTTTCCCTTAAATTATTGAATCCTTTCGAAAATGTGTCCAAAGAAGCTTAAAACTAGCTAACATTTTTTCAACATTTTTTTTATTTTTGTTCTTTTAAAATCGACAAGAAACAGGTTTTAGCTTACAGATACACATTTGTTTTGCCTCCTAATTTCCCCCCGCAGAGCATGACCGCAGTTGCCAGCAGCGCTACTCCTTCGTGTGTGAAAAACACAACGTCACATCGGTGGAGATCGACCCTCTCGAGCCTCGGCCCGAAGGGCTGCCCTGCATTAACGGCTCTCTGTCCTTCAGAAACAAGGTCTGACACCCGCTTCTTTAACCCAACAAACCGCTTCCTCCGGTCTCTCCCTCCTCTGTGTCTCAGTTTAAGAAGGTGCTTGGTACTTTAAATCCGCTAGTCTGATGTGTATCACCCAGAAACATCATATGTTGTTTTCCCCCCCAGTGCTACACGCTGATGAACGTGCCGGCCACATCCTTCAGGTTGGCCAATGAGGAGTGTCTGTCTGTGAGGGGAACTCTGGTCACCGTTTCAGATCAAGTGGAGCAAGGTAAGAAAAGTTTTGATTTGATTTGAGACAGAAAGTGCGTGTTTGCACGATTCAAACGCAACAATTTGATATCAGAACAACAGACCGTGTGGTAGATTTTGAGAGTTTTTGAGCGCGATTCACGTTCGGAGAAAACCAGACCAGAAAAACCATTCCTAACTGATGGTCCCAGCTCTATGAGATCAGTTATTTCTGAAACAAATTATCTTCTATGAAGTGGCGTTAAAAGGAGCTGCAGCAGCCCGGTGGCAGATGTGTCGCATTACTGCTGGATTCTTTAACGATGCGTGGACTGTCTCTGTGCCCGTCTGTGTTTTTAGACTTCATCAACACTCTCCTGCCGGGAATGGCACATATGAAACAGATCTGGATCGGTTTGAAAATCAAGCAAAGCGACCCCGCCTGGGTCGACAATTCCCCGGTGAACTACGTCAATTTTAACCCCCTCCTCCTGGGAATGCACAAGGCCATCCAAATCAATGTAAGACGCCCTCGCTTTGCATTTTCTTGACAAAAAAACAAGTTCACCGTGTTCATTTGGCTTTGACTTTCTATTGTTTGTCTGTTTTTCTTGTGGTTTTTTTCATTTTTTATAGTCATTTGACCAGGACAGTTTGAATATGTGTGTGTACCTGCTCAATAACCCGGCCTCTGACATGCTGGGGACCTGGGATTATTCCTCCTGCTCCTCGCTCCAAAGCCTGGGCATCTGCCAACATTATGCAGGTCATTTTTCACACTTGACACTTTCTTATCCATATTTTCCTACAAAGCCGGCTCGTAATCAGGATAAAGTCCTATGTCACCCAGCAGAAACATCGGTGGTAATCTTTGACAATACAGTTGACAGAAAATCTGAGCCACGATGTTATTTAACATTCAACTGGTTTTCCTAAACTGTGCCGTTCTTTGTTTCAGATAAACTGGAGGAGCCGGTGGTCCCCACAGAGAAGTTCAAAGTCAACAACCGGACCCTCCTCCTGATTGTCAAAAATCTCACCTGGTACGCGGCTCTGGAGGAGTGCAAGGCTCAGAAAATGGACCTGGCCAGCGTGCCCGACACTCTCGTGCAGTCCACCATCAGCGTGCACGTCCACCGTGCACAGAAGCCCATGTGGATCGGCCTTTTTAGTGAAGACGTAGGTGTCCCGACACGGGAATCCGACTTTAATTCCCCCTTTTTCGTACAATTGCCGAGTTACTCCTGTGGATTTTTGATTTTTCTTTTTTTTTGGGACTCAGGATGGGAACCACTACCACTGGACGGACCGGAGCCACACCGTGTTCAGCCGCTGGTCGGCCGAGCCCAGCAGCGGCTCGTGCGTCTACCAGGACACCGACGGCTTCTGGAGAGCCACGGAGTGCGAGGAGGAGATCCAGGGCGCCATCTGCCAGGAGCCCCGCGGTGAGTCCAGTCACCGCGAATTCACCTGAGACCAACCAAAACTGAGAGTGTGCAGAAAAAGTGAAACAAAGAGGTGTTGGAAGAAGTAACTACCTTTGAAGCTGGGTTATAAAAATCCTGACATTCAAAGCCCCAACCTGCTGGATGTTTTATCTGCAGCAGGATGTAAAATCTGTTTCTGAAATTGAGGAACTTCACGGCTTCTGTTTGACCCAAGTGTCACAACATCAATACTGATAGAGGAAAATACGTTGTATTTCTTGCTTTCTAAACCATTATTTAACTTTTTTCTATTTGATTTCTTTTTGGTAGGAACATTTTTTAATGATTTAAATCAAGAATACCCTAAAAGTCGTTAATTTCTCCATTGTGAGATTATTAAAGTGTTCATGCATAAAATGGATCATTGTTTTTTTTTCACAAAAACTGCGTTTCTTACAGAGGTGGAGAGCCCTACGCCAGAGAAGGCGGCTGTGAGGTGTCCTCACAACATCAGCGGCCCAAACTGGATCCCCTGGAGGAACGGCTGTTACTCCCTCCAGCTGGTGGCGTCCAGATGGGACGCGTTTGAGAAAGGAAAAATACAAGAAACCTGCAAGAGACTCCGTAAGGGCCGGCGGGGGCGGGGCCGGCGGGGGCGTGGCGAGGAAGGCGGCGCCCCCAGAGCTGCATGACGACGGTGCGCTCTCGTTTCAGATGCGGACGCCGACATCCTCACCATCCGAAACAAGGAGGAGAACGAGTTCGTCCGGAGCCAGCTGCTCCCGTTTCAGAGCCTGGTCCAGTTCGTCTGGCTGGGGCTCTTCAAAGACTTCAACGGTTGGTATTTCTTAGAAAAAGAAATTGGAAAAAAAGCTGGAACGCGGACGCTGTCTCGGGTCGAACGTAACCGCGGTTTGCCTTCTGCTTCAGACAATCAGACAAAGTGGTACGACGGCACCAACGTCCAGTACTCCAACTGGGCCAAAGGCCGGCCGTCGGTGGACGAGCCCTTCATGGCCGGCCTGACCACCGACGGCACCTGGATCCTGGTCACCAACACCAACCTGCACGCCGAGTTCAGGCAGAAGTCCATCGTGACCTGCAAGCTGGACTACGGTGGGTGTTATGACCATCCTTTCTGCGTCCAGAGACGCCCCCCCCAAAAAATCCGCTTCTGACCCTCCCGACTTTCCTTCTCGAAGGCTCCAAGCAGGAGTACAACCAGTCGTCCAAAGACTTCCAGCACTACGGCAGCCTGACCTACGAGGTGGTGGCCAAAAAGCTGAGCTGGTACGAGGCCCTGCGGGAGTG